TAGTGTTATAAATCTAAACAAACATCTATTCATATTTATAGTACTAACATATACATTATGTTCCACATTAAGTTAATCTACTAAGTGATGTAACGTATTGTATTACTATAAATCTAAAAGACATATGTGTACTAGTAAGGTATATTATATCCTACAATAGATTAATTTAACTCGCAACGAAGAAAGTACTTCCTTCGTGAAAAAAAAAACTAAGATTAGATGTAGACATATTCTAGTAGACTAGTACAATAAATCTAGACAAAATCTCAACGAATTCGGATAAAATCCTAGTACAATGAATATGAATAAAATGGGAGCTAGGATATTTCACATCTAATTCTAGATTTGTTTTAGTATATCACATTTAGTCTTAAGTTTGTTTTATGAGTAAATTTCATAAAACTACATATACTTTGCACAATCTATCGCAAAACTATAGATTTTAGAACTAGTTTCACAAAACTACAGATTTAATGTCTTTGTTTATCACAAAACTACATGTACTTTAAACAATATATCACAAAACTACATATTTAATAACTTATTTCACAAAACTACATGTTTAATATCTTCATTTATCACAAAACTACAGATTTAGTGTCTCCATTCTCACAAAACTACACATTTTAACAATGCTAAAACATGTAGTTTTGTGAGAATGGAGAAACTAAATCTGTACTTTTGTGATAAATGAAAATACTAAATGTGTAGCACTGTGATAAACGAATACACTAAATCTATATTTTTGTGAAACAAGTTCTTAAATCTGTAGTTTTGTGATAGATTGTACAAAGTACATGTAGTTTTGTGATAAACGAAGATACTAAATCTGTAGTTTTGTAAAACAGAATATTAAATCTATAGTTTTATGATAAATTGTACAAAATACATGTAGTTTATGAAATTTACTCTTGTTTTATTAATGGAGGGAGTAGGAGCGAACTCAAGTCTTCTCACATCTATTGTATCCGGTCGACGATTATAAATGTTGGAGTCTAGCGGTAGGTGCACTATGCACTGTGCACTGTGCTGCGATGGTTGGGCCGCGGTGCACTGTTCTGCACAATGTTAAGCGTCAAATCTGGTCCCGGCTCCACCTTTATCGAGCAAACAGAGCAAGGACAGCTCAAGTCACAACAACTCAACAAAGCGTCGACTGTGCGAGTCCACCAGCGATACTCCTAGTCGATAGATACAGCGGTACAACCTCAGCTTTGTTTGGCCGAGCTCTAGTGCCACAGTAGTACTGGCGGTGTGCTGGCTCGTCAGTGTGACCAAACATCGATATGCTCTTCAAACCGCTACTTCTTCCGTTCTAAAATATTATAATTTTTAGATAAATAGAACATATCATAATACTATAAATTTAAATAGAAGATCTCATGTTCTATTCAGATTCTAATACTATAAATTTAAATAGAAGATCTCCCATTCTATTCAGATTCGAATTTAGATAGAAGATCTCTCGTTTCGTTCTATTCAGATTCGTAGTGCTATGATATTTTATATTTAACTAAAAGTTATTATATTTTGAGATGGTGTATTCACCAGCGTCGTCGTACCATCAGCCCACGTGACGCTATTCTTTGATAGTGTGACGCATTCAGAGATGCGAGATGGGCAGTGCAGCAGCATGGCATACACATGAAAATCCACACTGGTCAGGACGAGCCGACGACCAGATGCACTGGCATGCAACGCATGCACTCGTGCGATCGTGCCAGTGTGTAGTAAGATGAATCTAAGGCGTAATTTTTCACGTGCCGAAAACGGCTGAACAGCTCGTGCTGCCGGCATTGGCGAACCATAGAGTTACTATACTTGTAGTAGTACAGCTCACACTTTCCGATCGATCGACCAGAGCGAATGAACCTCGTCGATCACGGGCTCACGGCACCCACGGCCACGTCTTTTCCTTGCTGATAAGCGAGGTCTCGTTGCAATGTCTCGTGATCTCGTCGCTATCGCCGCAACCCCAACGTCGGATTGGGTTTCGGTTGCACCGCTGAACAACTGCTACTCCCATGTTTTTTTCTTCTCTTCTCTGCTTTTAATTGAGGGTACGACGAGTTCAAAATCCCTGTAGCTGGCAATAACGTCGTAGGCTAACAACCCTATTAGACGAGTTTAAAGAAGGGTTCAGACTTTTCAAATCGATGGAAACTTTGGAGGCTAGTGTAGGCCGTAGGTGCTACGGGTGTGTCATGTTCGTCAAGTGTGGTCCTCATGATACAGTACCCCGATAGTGCAATCAAAATGTTTCTTTTTTTAAGATGACAATCAATGAGTTCCTTTATCTACAGATTGCAGATGCCCTTTAGGGTCTGTTTATTTGGTGAAATAAAAATTTTTGAGTATTACATTGGACGTTTGACTGGATATTGCAAGGGGTTTTCGGACACGAATGAAAAAACTAATTTCATAACTCGTCTGGAAACCGCGAGACGAATATTCTTAGTCTAATTAAGCCATCATTAGCACATGTTAGTTACTGTAACACTTATAGTTAATCATGGACTAATTAGGCTCAAAAGATCCATCTCGTGATTTATATGTAATCTGGGCAATTGATTTTTTTTATTTATATTTAATATTACATACGTGTGTTGAAAGATTTGATGTAATGTTTTTGTGAAAAGTTGTTAGGAACTAAACAGGTACAGGGCTACTTGAGTTCAGAAAACAAACTGTTTTATTGTAGGAGTACAGGGTGATGAACTAGATCAATGCCGACTTCGGTGTAGCCGTAGATTTTCTGCGCTTGGCCAGGAGTATTCACTTTTTTCTGGCATTGTGAACTCGCAACAGTAGTTTTGGTTGCCTCTTGCCGATCTCAGATGACCTCATGGTAAAATTCGGTGCTATTTAGGCACGCACACACAGAAAGGAAAAAAAAAAGAGGCCATCGCCACAGTGGGCCTATATTATGAGATGGACTGAAAAGGAGTCTGTAATTGGGCCTTATTTACCACATTGGCTCGGCCTCAGTAGCGAGTTTACCAATGGGCCTTTTGTCATGAGTAGGCCTTAACATGGACTCACTGGACCTTAATAGTGAGTTTCCTGTGCTCGATTTCGGAATTTGCGCTGGGCTGTGCGCCGAATAGTAGAGAGCTTACCGTTTTCAGCTTTTGGCACCTGCTTAGCTTGTGCGTTTGCATCTGCCTGTACTTCGTTGATCTATCTGTTCATTTCATTTGTATTGTCGTGCCGTGCCAGCCAGCTAGTTTTTGCATTTCCGGGAAGCTGATAATGGCATCCATCGACGCGCATACTCCTCCTGGGCATCCAGACGGATTAGAGTAAACAAACAGACGCGCAAAATAGCGCGTTACCAGGAGACAGCTGCTTTCTTTTCTCTTTAATTGAGATGCGCGCCAGTCCGTTCTTCTTTGTGTACTGTCAACCAGCCGGATCCAAGTGTCCACACTCCATCCTCGCGCAGGCACAGCTCATGCCAACCTCACAGCGTCACATGTCCTGCTTTCCAGGCAAGCTGGTAGCCAACCAAGCCAGACCGTTTTCCCCGGTTCATTTTTTAATAATAAGTTCATCTATTAAATGTGATTTAGGCTCTGTTTAGTTGCTCTAAAATAGCGAAAGTTTTGTTGTTGTTTAGCACTTTTTGTCAAAATGGAACTAAACACTAGTAGCAAAAATTGGTAATTTGACATTTGTCATTTTGAAGTCTAGAGTAGCAAATTTTGCAAAAAATATATTGGGAGCCATGCTCTCTCTATAGGCCTGTTTACTTTGATGAAAAAAAACCTCACCAAATTTTGGCTTTTTGGCAACTTGCCAAAATTTTGGTAGGATTTCTTATATAGTTACCAAAATTTAGCAGCAAACTAAATGTAGCCACTTTTTTAGCAACTTTACCAAAATTTATTAAGATTGAAAATGACATCAAAGTGAACAGGCCCTATCTTTACTAGTAAAACGCAAAACTTTAATATACATCTAAATACCAACTAGAAAAACTTTAATGCCAAATCTTTTGCCACCAAATTTTTTGCAAAAAAAATTGCCACGGTAAATTGATCTAAACATAACCATATTTTAAAGATAAGGAAGTAGAAAAATCTCCGACCACACCGACCATACTTTTTCTTCGCCATCCGTAATTCCGGTTTCTTCTGCGCAACACCAATGCGAGAAGAGTACGGCGATAGAAGCAAAATGGCACTGTTCCAATACCTGCACCGAGTAATTCTTCCAACAAAACGCATTTATGTTTCTCCATTGAAAGAGAGCCTGCAGATTTTTCTACTCGTACGCGGGTTTGAAGGATCGATCACATGGCGGATGGCGGGAGTACGGCACAACACTTGTTCGCCGGCCCGGCCGTCACGGCTCGCAACGCGGGCCATCTGTCAGCACAGCACGGGACTGTTCAATTTGATGAAAAAAAAATTATTAATTTTTGGCATTGACAAAATTTTGGTAACTTCCTAAAATTTTTGGTAGGATTTTTTTATAGTTAGTAAAATTTGACAGTAAACTAAATGTAGCTTTTTTTTTATAACTTTACTATTTTGGTAAGATTAAAAATAGCATATTAGCACCACGTCTCGCCCGTTGTAAACAACTCCAAAACCGACCTCCGCAACGGCTAGTAGCCGGACGGCCCAGCACGTCGCCCGAGGGCCGCATTTTATCGTGATCCATCACACACGTCCATGGACAATCCGACGGCGAGGCACTCGTCCACCTGTCCATCTTGGAACTAGTCGTTGGATGATTACCTGGTAAAACAACCGCTTCTCCCTCCCGGCGACGCGGTGCCGCTGCACGAAGGGTCAACATAGCCGGCGCCGCTCTCGCGACGAAGGTGGTCGGTGCCAGCCGGACCCAACCCACTGACGTGTTGGTCCCACTCGACGTGGCCCCCACGTGTCGGCGACCGTTGCCGTTGCGACTTCGTCACGACTTCAATAGGCTACAGCTGTTGCTTAACCGACATGGTGGTATACTAGCCTTTCGGCTATAAAAACCTGGACCCTCCCATTGTTTTCGCCACACAGTTCATCGGCATCTTCTCACACTCTAGCTCACAGCTTCGCGGTTTCCACGCACTTGAAAACTCACGTTTCCAAGCCGGAAAACCATGGCTCGCTTCGCCGTAGTCGCCGCCATCGTCGCCCTCCTCGCGGTCACGGCCGCCGCGCAGGCCCCGGGAGCGGCCCCCGTCCCGGCGCCCAAGATGGCCCCGCTGCCCGCTCCCCCGGCGAGGTCCCCGGCCACCGCCCCCGCGCCGGTCGCCACCCCGCCCACCGCCGCGTCGCCGTCCCCCATGGCGTCTCCACCGGCCCCGCCCACTGACGCCCCCGCCGCCAATGCCCCCTCCGCCGTCACCCCGTCCGCGGTCACCCCCTCCTCCGTCTCCGCCCCGACCGGCGCCCCCGCTGCCTCCTCCACGTACACCGCCACCGCCAGCTTCGTTGCCGTCGCCGGCGCGGTCGCCGCCGCCATCGTGTTCTAGATGGATGGATGGATGATTTGATCGACGCGTTGTTTATACGGCGAGATTCTTTTTTGTGATTCTGTTCTATTTACAGACAGCGAGACACTGATATTCAGATGTTTACACTTGTCATGTTTGATGAGATGATTATCGATGGAATATATTCTTTCATTTATTATTACCATACATGGAGTATTGTGCAATTTTTTTCCATTTTCTTATATTATCTGTATCGCTCACGCGTAAACTATTACTGCCGATCTGATCGGGCCAACCTACAAGAGTGGCTGTCACATGCATGATAGTCTAGATAGCTTTTTTTCCCTTTGCTTTACCGATGTCCGATGCCGTGACATGTGAGTGAGACAACAGCTTTCGCTTGTTCAGAATGCACGTGAAGCGGCTTTGTTGCATATGCCTAGTAAGGGTGTGTTTACTTCACGCTAAAATTATAAGTTTAGTTGAAATTAAAATGATATGCGTAGTAAGGGTGTGTTTACTTCACGCTAAAATTGTAAGTTTAATGTGATGAAAATGTTGGAAGTTTAAAGAAAAATTTTGGAACTAAACTCAGTCTAAATCTTGAACGCGCTTTTTCTTTCATGTAAAGTTGGATAAAATCCGTAGGCACCGTTAGAAAATAGGCAAAATTTGCTACAGAACATCGAAAGATTGCGGTTTTTGCTGTGAGACACTCGAAAATCGTGTATTTGTTTATGAACACTTAAAAGGGTGTTAATTAGCTGCTGGACACTACTCCTATTAAACTTTGTTTAAAGACAAATTTGCCCGTGGGCCCACTTGTCAATCTCTCTTTCTCTGTTGTTCTTCTTCGTCTCTTTCTCTCTGTTCATCTCTTCCTCAGTTCCTCTCTTTCTCTGTCGCGGCACACCGGGCAGAGCTCCACGGCGAAGGTGTGCCAGCGAGGACGACGAGGCGGCGACGACGCGGGCGGGCCACGGCGAGGTGACGAGGTCGACGAGGCGAGCGGCGTGGGAGCGCGATGCGAAGAAGTCAAGCCCGCCGCCGCCGCCGCCCAGCCGTCCTAGCGATGCGCCGCCACCACCGCCCCGCCGTGGCCCAGCCGTCCCGGTGATGCGCCGCCGCCGCCCCCGGCGATGCACCGCCGCCGCCGCCCGGCCGTGGCCCAGCCGTCCCGGCTCAGGCCAGCCGTCGTCGCCCCAAAGAAGAAGAAGAAGAAGGGAAAAGAAAAGAAGTGAGAGGAAGTGTAAGTGGGTATTTTGGTACTTACACAACTCTCTCTCTTCATTTTAACCGGAAATAATAAAATAATGTGAGGAGTGTTCAGCAGCTAATTATCACTTTTTTACAGTGTCCACGAGCAAATACATGATCTTCGGGTGTCTCACAGTAAAAACCGCAATCTTTCAGTGTCCAATAGCAAATTTTGCCTAGAAAATACGGTACACTAATTACCTTAACCAAATTTGGATGGCTCGCTATACGGAAACGCTGCAAGTTGAACACCAGACGAGATGGTGCCGTGTGAGACACTGAGAGAGTCTGAGAACGTCACTGCGTCAAGAAGAGAGAGTTGGGGGAAACGGGTGGTTGAGTGTGGACAGTCTAAAGTTCGTTTGAGTTTAAAGAGGCCCAACTAAGTAGTACTGGGCCGGGAAAAGATGAGGGTAGAACACGAGGAGTTTGTATGGGCCAGGACGGAAGATCCAATTCAAGTTCAATCCAGGCCTAGAAGTAAACCGCTTGTTTCACTTTTTATTTATTTTTTTCTTTTGGTTTGGTTTGAGGTTTGACATACGAGTAACTTGCAACATGTCAATATCAGCAAATTAGCGCTGATGCATGGAATATTACCTGAACAATACACCCTTCGTTCTCAAATATGGTAACTATCATCGTAGAATAAATGTAGTCAAAACGTAAACTTCCAACTCTTAGTATACGCAAAAGATTTGCTCCCCTTAACAAGCGAAATCATTCATTCTTTTTTTTTTCTTTTTTAAGAACACTGACGCACACAATCAATCAATCAACTTGTCTACTCCAGATGGTTCACATGCCGTCATTATAGCACAGTGTAAAATTTGGAATTTTGCCAGCCACTTCTTCCACTCCATCCCAGCAATTTGCTTGACGGGGGGAGCACATATAATGTTCGCAAGGAACCTCCTCCCCTTCAGACTGATCGATAGAAACAAAGCAGGGTTAGCTTTCAAGGCATCGATGCATCAGCTCAGCACGAAAGTTCTCACAAGTTGTGGGTGCCAATTAAGCTAGCCGGTACACTGTATTACTGTGATGTGAAAATAGCTGGAAAGTTTAATTTCCAGGTGAATCAAATTGTTTCCTGGCCTCGCTTCTCCGCGGTGAAAGTGAGCTGCTTACTAATCTGATGTGGAAACAACCACAACTTGGCCGTGTGATGCAGTGCACCTGTGCTTGAACAGCTTGATGCCGTTTTGCTGCTACTTGGCTAGATCAAGACATAGTTGTACAGGTGCGCAAGAGCTGATCTACACAAACTACAAAGCCAATCATCGGTAAGCTGCCGGGCCACTTGTCTGAGTACTCCCATCAGCTGTTAGGCCCCAGGTTCCGGCAACGACCTGCTGGCTAAAACGGGGCATCGCACGGCTTAATCCTCATCTTTCTCAACAGCTTACACACGACACTGACGTGGCCACGTACAGCTAGCACCTCGCAGTCAAGTTTGTATACGACTACTTAATCCTCATCCTTCTCGAGTGCCTTATTGAAGCTACTCTGAATATACTGCATCCGAGTTTTCCAACGTACTTGAGCAGAACCAGTCATTGCATTGTTAATAGACAGTATATTTCGGTAGATCTATATCGTCAATAGAAGGTTGATATGAATTACCAGTCGAAGAATTTTGCTCAGAATTTTGTCCGATTGGTGTACCGGAGAAATAAGATGTACTCCCTCTATCTAAAAACAAATTTGGATAGATATTTATCCAGGTTCATAGTATTAGTTAATTAGTATTAGGATGTGTCTTATTTCATTTTACATTTACATTACGTGGGACGGAGAGAGTACGTAGCAGTACTTATATTGTGAGGAGAAACGTGGGGTGCATAATAGGAGGCTCACTGACAGTCTGAAACTTACTCAAGTATTACGAGAGGAAGAAAAAATGGTTCATTCTTTTTCTGAAATCCACGTACATGGGAACAGCCAGTTAGTAACAAGTCCGATCAAACGCCCATTGGACATCAAGAATTCATGGAGTCCTAGATTATACGGTAGTAACAGAACTTATGTCCTTCGGGTCAATGGAATCTCTAGTCTCTGCCGCAGATCACTCATGTTGTCTCTGTAGGCTAGTGCACCCTGAGAGCAAGATTGTCTGAAGAGCATTATGTACTCCTGCGACCAAACCGCAGAACCAAACACACATGAGGATTATTTACTGTTTATCACGAGAAAAGAAGCAGCTCATCACATCATCGGGCAATCATTCGGCCTCTGCACTGCATGGATGCCACGCTGTTCGACCAGTCATATATAGCTCCTGACAGATGCACTCTAAAGCAGAGAAAGCAGAGTTCATGTGAACCGAAACAGAGATGGATGCATGCAAATGGGCCACAGGTCTTTTTAGGACACAAAGCCGTATACCTCAAATGCTAATCAAATGAGTGATTGCACGGTTCTTTTTTTATCAAGAGTTATCACAATTTTCGATGTTATTTTATAGTACCTCTACGCTAGAAAATATAGTATCTCTTGGTACATCATAAAGGACAGTTCAAGATTTGTAACCAATTAGTTTCAAGAAACTTAGAAAAAAATGTACGTGATATATCTCAAAGAAATTAAATCCAAAATCAATCTATACGTTGAATAAAGCAATCGGCTATTGGTAGCGTATGTGATTTTTTCCCCTTTTGTGAATGAGTAGATTCAGATTTACACTTGAAAATTCATGACTTTAGGTATTGCACTAATGCTGTCAATTTTGCCTTCTGGATTTCTCATAACTATTTTCATGATATTTTCGTTTCTAATTAAGATCTAGATTCTACCTTAGTTTTTGTTAGCATGATTTTCAAAACCGTTAAACGAGACGTTTTGTGTTAAAACTTTCTATATAATAGTTACTTTAAAATATCAAATAAACCTATTTTTTTATTTATAATAATTAAAACTCAATTAATTATGTGTTAATGGTTTTACCCTCATCAGTTAAGAACACCATCGCCCAAGGGCTCCTTCAGAACACAAAAATTTCGATATATCATTAGTGTATAGCCTATGAAAAACCCTTGAAGTCCCTCCATTTCAAAGAAGGCGTAAGGTTTTAGAGTCACCCTCCTTTTATGCAAATGGCAAGTAGTACTCCCTTTTTTAATATATAACGTCATTGATTTTTTAAAATACGTTTAACCATTCGTCTTATTTAAAAATATATATATAATTATCATTTATTTTATTGTGACTTGATTTATAATCATCAAATATTCTTTAACCATAACTTAGATTTTTTATATTTGTAAAAAAAGACAAGTAATCAAATATTTGTTAAAAAATCAATGACGTAATATATTTTAAAAAAGAAGGTAGCAGTTAAGCAAGAGGTACTAGTGCACAACACCTCCATCAAGACAAAAGTGGTCATCGTACGTACGTTTACAAGAGCTCAAAATGTTGGTATAGATTTCTCATTAAGGTCGCCGGAGATACTGCATGCATGCAGCACTCTGTTGGCTAGGGTACAATCACATTCACACATTACAAGCTAACAAGCTATCGATCGAGGCGCCATGGTTCCATTTCCAGGACGGACGAGGCAGAGGCTTCACATGGCGGCCGTCTCGGTTGTCGTCTCCATCGATCGCGGCGTCAGCTGATGGAGAGGACGGCCTCCTGCTGCTGAATGCTGCCCAGGATCTGATGCACAGCGGTGGCAATGTCTTCCACAGAGCCCAGCTTGGAATCATCCTCCACCTAACATCCAAACGAAAGCGATGACATTATCATCGGCGTTGTAGAAAAATGGGAGCGAATCTTCGCTCACCCGCGACGTTCCAATCGCTTAATTTGTCTGTGCTGCTAGCCTAAACTAACTAAGCATGCAGTCGTGGTAGTAAAATAGGTGCAAATTGTCGATTGGTTTTTACCTTGAGGCTGAAGGAGTAGAGGACCATGGCGTCGACGGTGGTCACGTTGAGATGCAGCGGCGGGATGCGCAGCTGCTGCAGCCCGACGACCAGCTTCAGCAGCTGCTTCGGTCGCCGCCGCGCGAGCACCTTGAGGCTCGCGTGCCCTTCCACCATGGTCACCTCGATGTCGGCGATGGCCGCCGACTGCCGGCCGCTCTCCGCGGAGCCCGCCGTGTCGTCCATGACGACGCTGCTCGCACTGCCGGAGCTCCCGGCGCTGGCGGCGGCGCTGCAGCCAGTGCGAGGCGACGTGGAGTACTGTGGGAAGCTGAAGAAGCCGGCGAAAGGGGAATCGCCGGCGGCGTCCATGGCGCCGCTGCGGTTCTTGAGGCTCTTTTGGACTTCCAGCGACTGCAGTAGCTGCTCCAGCTCCTTCACGTAGTTGATTGCTCCTCCGACGATCGATGCTTGATCACCCTGAGCAGAAAATGGATTCGATTTAATGATGATTAACGAATCATAACAGTATGCGTAAAAGCGATTAATTGAAGCATGCGTAGTTAGTGTTGTACCCTCTGCGAGTAGGACGCCGGCATGAGGGAGCGGAGCACGGCGAGGTACTCGTTCATCTGGCGGCGGCGGTTGCGCTCGACGGCAATGTGGGTCATCCGCTGGCACTCGATCTCCTCCTTGTTCTTGACGACCTTCGTCCGCCTCCGTTTCCTCCTCCCGGCGGCCACCGGCTCCGCCCGCTCCGCCGCCGCCGCCTTGCCCTCCGTGGAAGCATCCGAGTTATCCTTGGATGCCACCTCCCACTCATCCACGGAGGCGACCTGCAGCTGGTCATCCCACTCGTCCACTCCGTAAAACTCACCGAAGCCGCCGCCGCCGCCGGCAGCAGCCAGGACGTCGCACCACGGCATCCCGTACGCCGGCGAGTCCCTTCCGCACCCGTAGCCGAAATGGCCCTGCGGAAACACCACGGCCTCTAACGCCATCCTGCACGCACCCGGCAAAACGAACGGGCGTTTTTTTTCGCGAACTGACGACGCCACGATACGATACGCACACGATTCAGGGGGAGGCGAATTAAAGAGTGAGTTGCCCAGCGACGCGAGGGGCGCCGCCGTTTTTATAAGGGGACGCGCGAGGTGTGTGGCCGAGAGAGGCGCGCGCGCGCGCGGTGCGGGGCAAGTTGCAGTGGTGCACGCATGCATTGCGCGCGGGGGGAGGGGGGCCACGTACGCTACGCGCGAGGGGCGAGGCGGCCTTTTGCGCGAGGGGGACGGGAAGGGAAAACGCAATGATTTACACGGAGAGCGGAAGCAAAGCAAGATGACGCGCGCGCGCGGGGGCACGGGCACGCACGCGGGCGGGGCGCGATCTGCTTGCTTGCTGCGGAGCCGTGGGGACGGGGCTCGGCACGCGGGCGCGCGGGCGATCGATCGGGTGGCGCGGCTTGTTTGATGCGGTAACGCGGCCTGCAAGAGGGGTGGCAACTTGGCGAAGAACGCGCGGCGCGGCGCGCGCACCCGGTCGGGAGAGGCGTACGTCGCACAGGCGCGAATTGGAACGGCGGGCCGGTTGCTCAGATCGAGAGATTCTGGCATTCTGCGCTGCACGGTGATCGGAGGGGGCGTGGCAAACAAGCGACACGTACAGGTCATCTTGTGCAGCCATGAGTCGATCTGAATTTTCTGATTACTCACTGCGTCCGTTGATTTTTACTGTTCACATATATTTCGTACATTTCTGCTTGATTGTTGGACTCGTAATTGGAGAATTCTGCTTGTGATCGTCTTTCACTACAGTGTTTGCATGCATGTGGCTTTCATCCGCCTACAAAGGTGATCTGGCTTGATCTACTGTCTTGTATGTTTCAATCGGCATCAAATTTACGATTACCCTCTTGTACAAGTATGTCTACTTGTCTGTATCACCCGTCGCTTTCCTTGGAAAGAAGCTTCACTGAGTTTGCAAAGAATCGGCTATGATATGTCACTTCTCTAAAGGAATATGTTTAGGTGTACTACAAGTAGTACAAATTTGTGTAGTGTGATTATTTTACAGCTGATTGGCGCATAAAATCTGTGAGATGGGATCATCCTGAGTCCGACGTAGGAAATTACACAACGTAACAAAGATTAAGGCACTAATGCTAAATCTTGGCACATTAAATTTAATACTCCCTCCATTTTAGATTATAAATCGTTTTGATTTAAGTCAAAGTCAAATTACTTCAAATTAAACCAAATTTTTAGATAAATATATTAATGTTTACAACACTAAATTAGTTTTGTTAAATCTATAATTGAATATATTTTCATAATATATTTGTGTTGGGTAGAAAATGTTGTTACTTTTTTTAAAAAACTTAGTCAAACTTAAAGCAATTTGACTTTAACAAAACGACTTATAATTTGAAACAGAGGGAGTATGATAGATCATATGCGACATGTCACACCTTAAACATATAGGTTTAAATTCAACCTATATAAGGGGAACAAAAATAACAAATATATGACTCAGGATCGTACTATTCACATTTACCCCTATCACATATTCTAACTTCAAGTACTCCAACTGTAACTAAATATAATTAGTATATTCAACACGTATTACGTATTCTAACCGATAGTATAGACATTTTCCTAATAATCATATATTATTATCAGGGTTGTACTGAAAGATGAGACATTATGACTAGATAGTTAGCCGTGAGGATGAGGATTCGGCACGATAAGTTTCAACTTCTATGTACGCTTGTGATGTACAGATATACTCTCGTTGAAGTGTTGGGGTCCATGCCACGTACGCTAGGGAGCTCACATTCATCGATCTAGGCACAGTTCGTGATGGTGTTCGCCAAAGCATGGCTCAACTTGCGCCCCATCATGTCTAACCCCAACAAAAATAGCCGCATCAGCAACAGTAAAAACGAAAGCGAAAGATGCATTCATGCACAAAGTTTTTCTTATTCGGTATCATTTTCGATCTGTTCGTTTCTAACTTTTGTCTAACGGCAGCTAGGCAGGGAGAACTTGAGGACCATAACCTCTGTGGTATGCCACAGTTTCATGCACAAAGCTGAACAACCGTTGGCATCTTTTTGGGACGGGTGTTTTGCATATAAAAATTCAGTAACACGTACTTCTCTGTAAGTAGTATTTTTGTTTTTCCAGGAAGAACGTGTTAACCTGTTTCCAAAAGACAGTAGAAAGACGTACGGCACACAGGTTCCATTGGAATCCCCAACAAGATTGAAAAAGAACAGTTGGCAGTGCATATACTAATCACATAGTTGATCAGTCTATGGACGACGACAAGTACTTTAGACTGTTTATCACAGATGCTGGAGAATAAGAACAAATGTTCCCTTGCAATTTGTAAATTATTGACCTCATGGACACGTTAGATCAAGCCCATGAAAGAACTGAAACCGCTCTCCAAATATATTGCCGGAAGCTAGTTCAAACCAGGGGCAGAACACCGGATTGGCCTGAAGAAAGCATTTTGTTCTGTTCTTCAGGTATACTGCACTGAAGCATTATTATTTCTGCTGTGTCACGCTTGGAATGTAATGAGACCTTTCTTAATTATAAGTACCTAAAACAATTTGTTCAATTCACATCAGTTTCTGGATGCAGTTGTGGCGATGCTAAAAGAACTCCATTATCTCTCGGGTACGTGGTGTGCCCTGGAGATGCTGAAAGCTTAGCCTGGATGCTTTCCCCGGGAGAATCTGCTCAGATCGAGACTGAAATGCTTACAATGACGCAACCGTACGGCAACCAGGCATTTTCTTTTGCTTCAGTTTTCCTTGATGAAACTATATGACGCCAATGCTTTGTTCTTTTTGCATGAATTTGATTGCTGCCAATGCTGATAAAGCTGGCTGGCTAGCAATAACTGGCAAGCACTCTCCTATGTCTATCAGAGTTTCAGAGTAGGATAAAGACCCAAAATGTTATTCAGTGACAGCTTAACATTTCTCGGATAAAATCTCATACTACAGCTGGTGATAAGAACATTCCTACGCGTAATTTACCTGGTCGTCTTTGGTTCTGAACGTAACATCAATGGTCTCCTTTTACGTAGTATAAAACTAGAAATTATGATTGGTGAAAAGATACGAATCCGTGTCAATAAATCAGAGCGTCCAAGTGGCTGTAGTACAAAATTATATTTCACATAGTCATCTAGAATGAAGCCATTTCTGACCGATCGAGTGTTACTACTATACGATAACATATCAAATAAATGGTGCTAAAATTAAACAAACCACCATCGTACTACTCGACTTGACATACTATATCTTCTCAAAATTTTCTGATGTGTATAGTAGTCCATAGACAAAATCTGGAAGAGTGATTATCCGGTATTATACACCAGTTTTATGAGTGGTAAAATAATAATTTATTAATATAATGATTAGTAAATTATCAAGTGCATCTCAAGGATGTAATATGTGAAAATAGAATTAATTAATACAGTTGTCACAAAATACTTTCATATGGTTATATTAATACACGAGAGAACTAGGACTGGGCATTTACAATTAGATTAAATCTGAACCGCAAATTACAAAAATTATCGTATAAAATTTTCTATCAAATTTTCAACATTGCCTTTATTAATTTATACTGCTAGTATATACCGGTACTAGTATATTATACCGTAAAAGTTATGATCGGCTAGATCTAGATTAGAGTTTTCTATATACACATTGTACTTCATATAATCTGGATATAGTTTAGGTATATGCATACAAACAAAATATATGGATATTATCTTGCGGGAGGCACGAACCTGTACGTAAAACCTCTATGCACACACATGGTTTTACGAATTCTTATCTTTACACAAACGATCTCAGATATACTTAACTATTGCCAATTATCTAATGAAACGAAGATATACCCAAATCTTTTTTGTGTATCTAATTGTTCATGCAATGTTCCAGAAATCGTGCGACACCTAGTTTGTTGTTTAGCATGTACAAAATGTCAATTCGGTCGTGCAGCTCCTACGTTATAGGTAGGCGCTAATTAATACTATATCCTTAACGTAATCCTCGGCAATCTTGTTCCATTCTGCCCATGCCCTATTATGCACCAAACCATACCGTTCTCTCGAAACAAAGGCAAAACAGCTGTGTTAGCTGAGCTCTCTTGACATATAGCATCATTTCTCCAGTTCAAAGGTGAGGAAGAAAACCATATACCTGCTGCAGTATGCGCCGCATTACCAGACGCAGCACGACGACATGCTCGAACAATATTGTTAATCAGTGCAAATCTTGGAGAGATCCGGTGTGGGGGATTAATTTGGACGGACAAGTAGGTAACCGAGGATTTGGTTTGGTGATGGTCTTTTTTGCAAGTGTGAATTGCGAAGTTTGGAAGCATTGCTAACCGCTGCCGTCTCGGGTCAGCGTCCTACGTACTCCCGGGGTCCTCTCTGCCCTTAAAATAAATGGATTTTGCAACGCTTCCTTTGGGAAGTCCCTAGCAAGTTTGTTAATTGCAACCTTTTTCGTTCAGAGACTTAAGTTTATTTGCAACTTGGTCACTTGGTCAGGTAAATGCTTTCGATGTACTTGCACATTTCAAAGATTCTTCCTATAGCTTTCGCCCGGAGGACCCCGGGCATAGTGTTGTGCCAAATTCCAAGATCGACACCGGATTCTTGAAAAGGTATGCCCAGTTACAAAGTACAAATATACATACAACAAACTGACCAAGATAGTGTCACAAAGTGGTTGGTAGAACAAGTGAACAATCCTCAACCATTCATGTAGTATGTTACACATCCTCTCACCTTATTTAAAAAATATAACTGGACATAAATTAATCTACTGGTGGGTCTGCATGCATTCTGTTGTTTACGGTGACAATGAAGAGGCTGTAAGATGTTAATACGACTCTTCTCGCTTGGATCAGGCAGTGCTATAGGCTGGGAATGCTGCCATCACAGGCCAGCTGCAGCTAAGCAACCAAATCTGAATCATCTAATTAGAAGTCATGCAACAGACAAGCTAACTAAGCTAGTTCACTAAATGATAATCCAGTAGATATAGCAGAAGTAGCAGATTATTAAGGCCATCTAACTACAGAAGATT